CCTATCTTTTGTAGTTTACTCCATTAGAATAAAGATACAATGTATTTAACATCACTTGGCATGATGCTATTGCAGTATCAAGTAATTTTCTCTGGTGCATATCCCTTTTGAGGGGTCTTAAAACATTTATTCTCAAAGTATCAGTTTTAAAACTGCTTAGTATTGGAGCAATCTTAATCACCAAATCACATAAATATGATATTTTATATCTATATTAGTATATTTGGTACTTATTACATAACCCAAAAACATTTAAGTTTTGTGAAAAATACATTTGTCAGTGACAGCCAACTAAAGGCAATTTTTTTTCTTAAAAAAAATAGAATTCTTATTAGAACTTGACAAAGGCTTTTGGATCATGGCCTTTTCTCTAGCTGACCTTTAATATACCGTTAAAATATTTATAAGTAAAGGAGAAACAAAGTTCTTTATATTCTAATTCATAAAAATATTAATACGCTATCTTTGCTATCACTGAAAAAAATATTTTCTGAAACTATAGAAAACCCGTTGTAGAATTCATTCTTATCAAAACTATTTCAGTTACCATAATACCAGAAGAACATATTACCTTCAGTAGTGCACAATAAATAAGCGTCATCTGTAAATGGCGATTTTCTACGGTTTTCGTAACCTCTTTTCCTTTAACTTCACTTTTTAGCATATAGCTTATTTTAGTTTATTTCAATTAATTCTTATTATCAATATTAATAAAACATTAGTGTCAATAATAATATCACAATTTTTTAAGGCTCCTAAAATGAATAAGTATATGTTCTCCATTACTTTTGCTCTTTAGTACATAAGTTTTTTTTTATTCAATTACCGTTTATTTTAGATAATTAATTTCTTAGAGACACGTTTTAAAAGTATTAATATAAATAAATTTAGGCATATGGTATCAGAGAACTATGAAAGTATAAATTTGGTGATATAGGTATCACATGTTCTTCATTGAATTTATCTGACACCGCGAATATAAAATAATTAAATATTTAAATATGCGCAATAAACTATTTTTTGGATCAAATAAAGTTTTAACTTAGAAATTATCACTGATGTTATCTTTAAGACACTTGAGAAACTGAATCGCTTATAGTAAAATTTAAAACAATGACTAACGCTTAACCAATCAGGAAATTCCATTTCGTTTTTCGCTTATCCCACTTGAAGAGTTCGTCGTAGAATCTTCTAATGTTAACAGTAACATTTTTGTGCTTGGAACTATCTATATGCCAAATTTCCTCGCTTGTAATCAAATGGTTTAGGAGTCCATAAAGGACACCCACAAGCAGACAGATAGACATTCAGTTTTATATTAATAGGTAAAGATTAAAGTAGCATAAAAGGTTGATTTATCATTTCATAAAATTGGTTATCCTGAATTATATGATATTATACTTGAATAAACGTTTCCACATATACACAATGATCAATCAAATTAAAGATTATTATTGACACTAATTAAATCATCATTACATAATGCTAAATCATTATTAATCAAACATATTAAAATTAAAAGAAGAGACTGATAAATATACTAATTAAGGTACAACTGATATGGGGTACCCCACAGATTATACATTCATAACACATTGATGTCCTGTTTCAGTCAGTATCAGGACATTTTTAATTCTTAGCCATCTGATAATTAACAAAATTCAAGCATCCGTAATCCAAAGAAAAATCTGATCATTAGATCAAAAGCTATACAGGATGTTAAAATTTTAATTTTGTACATTGTACATAAAATTTATAAAAGTAGTTGAAAAAAGCATTTTTAATAGCGATTTGCAAATTTTTAATCGCCAGTTTGATTTTTTGGAATTCTTTCACTGCAGTATAATTTAAACAATAGCATTGAGTACTTCATTTTTAAAAATCTACAGAAGAAAGCCAAAGTTTTTCTATCTTTTTTCTTTGAATACAGGGAGAAGGCTATGAGAATATTTCTATTAATGTTTTTTCTTTAATCATTGAGGCTTTTTTTAATGAATAAAAAATGAACTAAAATAGGCAATTTTTTGAACTTTCCTTAGCAATTGTCATAATCAGTAGTAATTATTAGTATTGAGCTCTTTAGTTAGTTTAGTTTATAATATAGTTAGAATTTTATTTTATGATTAGACCAAAATACGCACAGTTAGAAGCTTTTTAAATTCTTATTATTTTGCTTACAGCAAAAAATTATCATTGTTTCAAGCAACGGCTTTTAGTTTAATTTCTAATGGGAGTATTTCTAAACTGCGTCATCATCCTTTAAAAAAAAAAAAAAAAATTGAGCAACATTTTTTCCTAACTATATCATATTTGTAAAAATCATTAAATCAGTTGAGTTCTCTTCATTTTTGTTTAATTTGAAATGATAAGCAGTGTATAATATAAGTACATTGTAATTACTTTGTATTTCAAATCAACGGCAAGATTATTAAAATTAACATTGTTACAGTTTTTTGCAAATTTCTGATTATAAATAATATAATATTTTACTATATAGTCAGGATTGTTTTCTTCCTTAAAATAATGCTTTTATTTTGCTTCTAGCCGACCAGGTGGCTAAGTGGTTAGCGTGCCTGACTGCGGAGCCTATGGTTGCGGGTTCGAATCCTGCTCTGGGCATGGATGTTTCTTTCTCCCTGTATTCTATGTCCTTTCTCCTTTGTGTGAATGTGATCTGCCCCATATACGGGTTTGTGGTTGTGTGACGTGGGCGACGCTGTTCGACCGCCGTGGCTTCGCCACAGGTGCCCACTGAGTAACGAGAAGAGAGTAGCAGTTCTGGCGTTCCTGAGGCCAATGAGACAATACATCCCAAGTGCCAGCCATTAAAAAAATTTTTTTTTTTGCTACTTAAAAAATAGAATATATAATTTTTTTCAAGGGCGTGAATTCGAGATTCACGAGACAGGCACTGATTCCCCTAGATACGCTTATGCCAATGACGGAAAAGACATTCGTCCAGGTTTTTGACAGCTGTTCTCAAATTTCGAAAGGTCCTAACACTTTTAAACAGCCTTTTGATTTCAAAAAAACCTACTCTGAATAATTTAGAAAAGAAAAAGGCATAATCCTCATGAAAATATATCTATTTGAATTATTATTAAAAAAAATATCCTTCAATTTATACCTGTCATTCATTACAACTATTCTGATTTTTTTTAAAACAAAAGATTTCATTTTGCAAAACCCTAAAACTGATTTTGAAACCTGACATATTCCGAAATTAATGTTGAAAAAAAAGTTTGCTATAATTCCTAGGAGTTAATATTAACATTTCTATAACTGTTAGATAGCAGTGTAGAAATCGTAGCATGGTTCAAATAGGAAGATTTTCATATTAGTTGGCATCCATGACAAAATAATCTCCAAGTTTGGGTGATTTACAGGCAGTGGTACGCAAAAAACTAAAGAAAAAAAAAAGCATCACAAAAGGAGATCAACTCACAAGGTATAACTTGTAGTTATCCTTGGCTAACCACAACAAATTTTTCAAAATTTTTGCAAGGTAAAAAACCTTTTAGTGCCTTGGCAAAAATAATAGATGTAAACAAACACCAATACTAGAAAAAAAAAACATCACAGAAGGGGATCTATTTGTAGTCACCCATGGCAAACTTCAACATGCATTTTTTAATTTCGAAAAAAAAAACATCACAGAAGGGGACCTATTTGTAGTCACCCATGGCAAACTTCAACATGCATTTTTTAATTTCAGAAAAAAAAAACATCACAGAAGGGGACCTATTTGTAGTCACCCATGGCGAACTTCAACATGCATTTTTTAATTTTCTTTTCCTGCAAGTTTAAAATCCATCTGGCAAATAAGTGGTTGTAGATAGTGTGAATATATACTGATACAGAAATATTTATACGCAAATAGGCTTTAATAAAGAAATCTATTTCTAAACCCTTAAAAAAAAAAAAAGAGATTTTCCAATATAAGAAATNCACAGAAGGGGACCTATTTGTAGTCACCCATGGCAAACTTCAACATGCATTTCTTAATTTCAGAAAAAAAAAAACATCACAGAAGGGGACCTATTTGTAGTCACCCATGGCAAACTTCAACATGCATTTCTTAATTTCAGAAAAAAAAAAACATCACAGAAGGGGACCTATTTGTAGTCACCCATGGCAAACTTCAACATGCATTTCTTAATTTCAGAAAAAAAAAAACATCACAGAAGGGGACCTATTTGTAGTCACCCATGGCAAACTTCAACATGCATTTCTTAATTTCAGAAAAAAAAAAACATCACAGAAGGGGACCTATTTGTAGTCACCCATGGCGAACTTCAACATGCACTTTTTAATTTTCTTTTCCTGCAAGTTTAAAATCCATCTGGCAAATAGGTGGTTGTAGATAGTGTGAATATATACTGATACGGAAATATTCATACGCAAATAGGCTTTTAATAAAGAAATCTACTTCTAAACTGTTAAAAAAAAAGAGATTTTCCAATATAAGAAATTTAAAATATTATGATTAAGAAAGAAAGATATGATTAGAAATATTTGCTAATAATTTAACCACCAGAGGTTATGCCGATTAAATTTTGTTGATTTTAATCAATTTTTAACTATTTTAATGTGTTAGACTAAAGAGCACATTAGAAAGAGTGTGTTTTTAAAATATTGTACACCAATTTGTACTATTGATTAAACATTTGATTAAAGGCGGAAATGTAGAGTTAAACTAGACAACCGCTTTCACTATTTCGTGTCATGATCTAAAAGTAAAAATTTCACATAATTTAAACTGTGATTAAAAATTTATTCATGCTATGGTATTTATTTTAAAGTAAAGTAACTTTTAATTATGAAAAGTCTTTGAACTTGAAGAAAATTTGCTATTTTGTTCAGTAATTAAGAGAAGAATTTTTAAAAATAAATACTAGTCGCACGAAAGAAAACTTGATTCAATGAAAAATTACCAGCAATGAGTATTGCAATGTTTATCAAACAAATGAAAATACAAATAATATCAAGAAGATAAAAACCTGTAGATTTAGAGGAAATTGTACTAGTTATTCTTTTCAATCTAGCTTCAGATCCTTCCAATATTTTCCGTCTTCTAATTTCTCTTCGACGCGCTGCTTCATCATCAGCCATTATTTACAAATATTTACTTCTAAAAATTCTTCAGTTTCGAATTCAATCATATGAATCATATAGGGTCAAGGCAAATTTTCAAGAAAAAAAATCTCCGACGTCTTCGCGAAAGGCTCCAAAATGAAACTGATTAATTAATTAGTTTAAGAAAAATGTTTAAAAAGTCACAGTAATATTTTTAATTGAAACAATTTATTTACTTACTTCTATTAAAAAATTTTCCAATGGGGGTCTTTACTTTGTCATTTTATGACATCTATTATAACTTTTCCTCTAATATGATGGTGGCTCAAATGAAGAAACAGGCAGAAAGAATCGTTGCTATTTGTTATTAATTATTTAGACCACAGAGGAATAAGAAAGAGATTCCACTCCCGCCTATCAAGCGCCAAGTTTCGCTCAGTAAGAATAGTCTTAGTGGCGCCATCTATTGCAATATAGCTAAACTAATTTTTAATATAAGTTATACTCTTAAATTTCATTAATAAGTACCAAAATATTTTAAAATTCACTATTCAATCAACAATAGTTTATAATATTTAGGTGCAAAATTTAAATTGCTTTAGTTAATGACTTACAATTTTCGAAATCATTAGTATTTAAATCAAAAATTAAGGATGATATTCTACTACATCATAAAAAAATGAATGATAAAAAAACAGAGAAAAATTTATATTTAAAATATGATTTAGAAAACTAGCAACAGTTTTTGAAAATCTTTAATTTTAAGGTTAGATTGATTTTGTAACAAATTATTCCAGTTAAAGCTTACATTAAGACAAAATTATTTATAATAATCTAAAATTTTATTTTGAGAATTAAAACAAATGTTTTAAAAAGTGAAAAATAAATGTATTAAATACTAAATTGAAGGTGGGATTTAAAACTTAAGTGAAAAGAAAATTTAAAATTGTCAAAATATGCATTTTGACATGTTCATATGAGGTATTTTACAACTGCATTGGGAATTAAAATATTTTTATGGAATATTACTGATAAAGAAAAATGGTTAAATAATAAAAACAATATTGCTTTTATTCAAAGATTTCATTTTAAATAATAATTTTTGAAATCAGTGGTATTCAAATTNAAATGAAACTGATTAATTAATTCGTTTAAAAAGTCATAGTAATATTTTTAATTGAAACAATTTATTTACTTACTTCTATTAAAAAATTTTCTAATAGGGGTCTTTACTTTGTCATTTTATGATATCTAGATAACTTTTCCTCTAATATGATGGTGGCTCAAATGAAGAAACAGGCAGAAGTAATCGTTGCTATTTGTTATTAATTATTTAGACGACGATATTTTGTACGCTTGCACTGGTATTGAATTTTGTTGATTAATTATTTTTTTTCCAAGTATTTTGTTTGTGTTACTATAGTAAATGCAATATATATTAATTGTTATCTGAATTACTCCAAAGAAGATCCTCTGTTCATTCGCAGACATCAAGCATGAGTGCAGTATGTTGTATTTAAACATTTCTCCTCTTCATAACAGCTTTTATAATCTTTTTTAAAAATCTGTCTTTAGCAACTTGATTATTTTACTATGCATTTTCTAATAATTGGACATTAGTTTTTTTTAAATTAAGTTTTTAACTCATTTATGCATCTTTCGAAATTGACATCGTGTCATAAGAAATGTGTCACTGCCTTATTTTTTTAAAATTATGTTTTTGTGTATTATGACAATTTTATTGAGTTGATTCTAACACGGTATATTTCCATATCGTGGTCTATCGTGCCAGCTATTATCCCCAAAGTATCAAATAGATTTTAAACTTACTTGCAATTGAAAAAAAAAACATGCAGAGGTTTGCCTGAGGGGTGGCTACCTTTCGAATTGCTCCCCTTCTGTTAATTTTTTTAGAGTTGCCGAAATTTGGTGATTGTTCTGCCCCAAAACACGCTATGGAAGATATCTTGCTAGATCTAATGAATCAATGTTTTAGAAGGTCAATTTTTCTGGGCAATTTCAGGGTCAACCAGATGATGACAAATTCAAAATATATATATATTATCTAGTAAGCTCTCACTTTGAAGACAAGAAGTTTAAGATTTAGAATTATCACCTCTTAACTTAATAAATTTATTTTTTAATTAGTTACAAGTCGTTAAATGAAGGGCAAAATCATAAGAAATTTTTAGCTACATGGAGTGACGCTCAAAAATACACAACTTTTTTGTAAATTCATACTGATATTGAAAAGCAGAGTCAGGGTTTTGGATGTCCTAAACTGGTTTTGGACAGGACACATGGGTTTTACTATCTTTAACTGTCCTAAATTTTCCTAAACTGACTAAAACTGTCTCAAAGTGTCCAAAAACGTGAACATTAGTAAAAGGTAAGAATTCTATATGTGCAACACACAAATAATTACTTATATTAATAATTATTTGATACTTTTTATACAATTTGCTTAAACTTATTAAAAGAAAATAATATAACAGGAAAAGATTTATAACTTTTGACTCTCCACAATTCATTGAGCAACAAAAATTAATAGCTTATCCCTTAAATATGAATAATACTGATAAATTATGTTTTTGTGCAAGGATAAATATGCAATATTAAAAATAATAATAAACTTTTTTAATGAAACAAAAACTTGTCTTCATTTTGGTTCTTGTTGAAAAATTAAAATTTTATTTTTCATGATACTTTTTTTATATTAAGACATAATTTGAGCAAAAGGCTTTCAGACAGTTTATGACAAAAGGGTTTTGGACAAGATGGATTAAACCCTGGTTTAAACCGTGGATTAATCCATTTTGTCCTAAACTTTTGTCAACTCTGTTGAAAAGTGAAGTAAATAATCATGAAATATACTCAATATAAATCAGGTCATGTTACAAAAATATGTAGAATATCTGCATATTTTAAAGAATTTTCATGAGATGCTTTAAATATTTTACCTCTGAAACCAAAAATGTAGGTATCATTAATTCAATTCAGAAAAAAAAAAGTTTCGCTGGAAATCTTGCTTTAAATCAAAAAATAAAAATTTCTATTTAAAGCAAGATTCTTGATTTTGATCTATTTAAATTTTGTATGCATTAAATATTTTTAAAATTAATTAATTATTTTTACCTCCAACAATATTTGCGATTGAATTATTTGTATCTTTTGTATTTTTATTTATTTTCACTTATTTTTTAATGCATGCATATTTGTTCTGTTAGACCGTTTTTTTGTTTTTGTTTTTTGGTTTATTTAAAGTAAAAGGTTGAATAACATATTAAGTCCAAAAGTATAAGCAATAAAGCCATTAAAAAGAATTTCACAGAAATATTTTTTACTATTGATATTTTGATAACGGAAGAAAGTGTAATAATTAAAGATCTTAAACATTAATGCAACTTTACTTAACAAGCAAATAGACATTTTATATCTAAATGTTATTTTCAGTTGTACTTGTATGTCAAAGTTAGTTAACCTCCTTGATTGTTTGTATTTAAAGAAATGTCGCAATTCAGACTTATTTACATTAATCAGGGGTAGAAATTTAAAAAAAAAATTACTGGTCCATAGGACCAGTAACTAAAACATTTTACTAGTCCGCACAAAACTTTACTGGTCCGTCTACGCGTTCCTATTAGCTGCAAATAAAAATAAAAAAATTGAAATTTTTGATTGAAAAAAATCATGATTTTTTTTTTTTTTTTTAAATCATAAATTTTTGATTTAAATCGCATTTTTTTGATTAATATTAATTTTGTATAAAAAATTTTAAAAAAAAATTGTGAATAAGCTCTAAAATAGTTTTAGATAAGATCGTTTAAATTTCGTAAGATCGAGAATAGATCGGCTGCGAGAATAGATTAACGGAGATCGGCTGCGGCGGATGGTGGTCCGGCGGACCACTGTTTATTATTTTATGCTGGTCCGACTCCGATTTTAGTGGTCACGGACCAACGGACCACCGTTAATTTCGAGCCCTGATTAATGTTATTATTTAGCAGTATACAACTTATAGCATTGATATCAATTAATTGTTCTAAAATAAACATTTGTTTTTGATTTATTGTATGAATGCAAGTTTTAATATAAATGAGAGTGAGGTATGAAAGGCAATATATTTTTACCTTAAAAAATATTTAAAATTTTTAGAATTATGAAAAGGAATAAAAAAAAGAAAGGAAAATAGATTCATAAATTTAGACACATAAAATAGTTAAGGTATGTTTTAGTACTAATGGTTTGAAAAATATAGAAGATATTACTTTTTTATCACTTATTTTAACATTATGGATTTTTTAATTTAACAATGTTCTTATTGACATATTGCAGCATTAAATAAATGAAACAAATATACATAAATTAATTTTAGTGAATTTCATATTTTTCTTTAAAATTTTTTTAAAAAATATATTGTGAAAAATATGATTTGAAAATTACAATAATTAATATAAACATACTGGATATAGTATACAATACAAATTTATTTACACTGGTGACAGAAAATAATTCTAAAAATAAACTGAAAAAATAAAATTTAGAAAACATCTCATTCCCATTTATACATTTGATTGTAGTAAACATAATGCATTTTACAATTAGATAAAAATAAACTATGAGAAGCTTAAACTCTTTCAATAAATTACAGAACATGAGCTCTCTATTTTATTTAAAGCAATTTTAAGAGATATTCTGACCTTTTACATAATTCATTAGATGAGATATTAGGGCTCACTTTATTTAACATCAGAGATGGTAAGTTTCTTCCACAGTTAACGAAACCACCTCACAAGAAACAAGTTTATTCTATTCCAACCCAAGTGGAAGAAACTCTTTTTCAGAAAGAAATTTAAAATATGTAGACAGTTAATATTTGCAATCTAGTTTAAGTAATAGGTATTATTAATTTTTGAGTTGTTTATTATATCATTTTTATGAAAGTAAGAACTGAAATATAGAAACACACCGGCGTGTCCGACTGATTTGTCATTCACTCCTGTCATCAAGTATTTACATCAGTGTTCTGAAACGTTTTAAGAACTATAATTTTCTACTCCAAATAAGAAACATATGATTTGCATGCATGTGGTTTTTAATTATATAAACATGAGGGAGAAGGAATGTTTTCAAATGGTGTGATTTATGATAGCTCTTTAAAATAAAGCATGTGGTACTACTCTGATTTAAATTCTTAGAATAATTGAAAAATTCAACATTAAAAATTGTCTTACTTTATTTTTTACTTTCTTTTATTAATTTACAAATTTAACTAGTCACATCTGCATATTTCGCAATATTTTTAAAGATTAAATAAAAAAAAAATCTAAGTCAGTAATGTCATAAGTCATTAAATATGGTGGATAAATACTGGAAAAAAAAATGGTTTAAAAGTGCAATGAAACAAGAAAAATCATAAGTAAATAAAGTAGAATACAAAATATATATAACATATGTTATTTATCTACTTTTACATTATTGAAGAACAAGCGCATATATCAAGGATTTCGGCTTAACAGCAAATAGGTCCTGGATAGGTGATATAAAGTATTAGGAATTATCATAAGAATTTTTACTTTTTCATTGCAAAACCTCTTTGAATCACTTATATTTCATATTACTTTATGTAAGACCGCATTTTGTAAGCAAACACTTAATAATAATTTAAAAACAAAACTCTTGTTTGNCCTAAACTGTCTTAAAGTGTTCAAAAACTTGAACCTTGGTAAAAGGTAAAAATTCTATATGTGCAACACATAAATAATTACTTATATTAATAAATATTTGATACTTTTTATACAATTTGCTTAAACTTATTAAAAGAAAATAATATAACAGGAAAAGATATATAACTTTTGACTCTCCACAATTCATTGAACAACAAAAATGAATACCTTATCCCTTAAATATGAATGTATATGCTTTTAATGCTGATAAATTATGTTTTCGTACAAGGATAAATACACAATATTAAAAATAATAATAAACTTTTTTAATGAAACAAAAACTTGTCTTCATTTTGGTTCTTGTTGAAAAATTTAAATTTTATTTTTCACGATACTTTTTTTATATTAAGACATAATTTGAGCAAAAGGCTTTTAGACAGTTTATGACAAAGAGGTTTTGGACAAGACGGATTAAACCCTGGTTTAAACCGTGGATTAATCCATTCTGTCCTAAACTTTGCCAACTCTGTTGAAAAGTGAAGTAAATAATCATGAAATACTCAATATAAATCAGGTCATATTACGAAAATATGTAGAATATCTGCATATTTTTAAGAATTTTCGTGAGATGCTTCAGATATTTTACCTCTGAAACCAAAAATGTAGGTATCATTTTTCGATTCAGAAAAAAAAAAGTTTCGCTGAAAATCTTGCTTTAAACCAAAAAGTAAAATTTTCTATTTAAAGCAAGATTCTTGATTTTGATCGATTTAAATTTTGTATGCATTAAATATTTTTTAAAATTAATTATTTTTACCTCCAACAATATTTGTGTTTGACTTATTTGTATCTTTTGAATTTTTTTATATATTCTCATTTATTCTTTTATGCATGCATATTTGTTCTGTTAAACCATTTTTTTTTTTGGGGGGGGGGTTTATTTAAAGTAAAAGGTTAAATAACATATTAAGTCCAAAATTATAAGCAATAAAGCCATTAAAAAGAATTTCACAGAAATATTTTTTACTATTGATATTTTGATAACGGAATAGAGTGTAATAATTAAAGATCTTAAACATTAATGCAACTTCACTTAACAAGCAAATAAACATTTTATATCTAAATGCTATTTTCAGTAGTACTTGTATGTCAAAGTTAGTTTACCTCCTTGATTGTTTGTATTTAAAGAAATGCCGCAATTCAGACTTATTTACATTAATGTTATTATTTAGCAGTATACAACTTATAGCATTGATATCAATTAATTGTTCTAAAATAAGCATTTGTTTTTGATTTATTGTATGAATGCAAGTTTTAATATAAATAAGAGTGAGGTATGAAAGGCAATATATTAATACCTTAAAAAATACTTAAAATTTTTAGAATGATGAAGAGGAATGAAAAAAAAGAAAGGAAAATAATGTGACGCTTAGACGATAAGCGTCACAATAGATTCATAAATTTAGACACATAAAATAGTAAAGGTATGTTTTAGTACTAATGGTTTGAAAAATATGAAGATATTACTTTTTTATCACTTATTTTAACATTATGGGTTTTTAAATTTAACAATGTTGTTATTGACATACTGCAGCATTAAATAAATAAAGCAAAAATACGTAAATTAATTTTAGTGAATTTCATATTTTTCTTTAAAATTTTTTTTAAAAATATATTATGAAAAATATGATTTGAAAATTACAATTAATATAAACATACTGGTACATACAATACATACTGGTAGTATACACTACAAATTTATTTACACTGGTGACAGAAAATAATTCTAAAAATAAACTGAAAAAATAAAATTTAGAAAACATCTCATTCCCATTTATACATTTGATTGTAGTAAACATAATGCATTTTACAATTAGATAAAAATAAACTATGAGAAGCTTAAACTCTTTCAATAAATTACAGAACATGGACTCTCTGTTTTATTTTAAGCAATTTTAAGAGATATTCTGACCTTTTACATAATTCATTAGATGAGATATTAGAACTCACTTAATTTAACATCAGAGATGGTAAGTTTCTTCCACAGTTAACAAAACCACCTCCCAAGAAACAAGTTTATTCTATTCCAACCCAAGTGGAAGAAACTCTTTTTCAGAAGGAAATTTAAAATATTTAAACAGTTAATATTTGCAATCTAGTTTAAGTAATAGGTATTATCAATTTTTGAGCTGTTTATTATATCATTTTTATGAAAGTAAAAACTGAAAAATAGAAACACACCGGCGTGTCCGACTGATTTGTCATTCACTCCTGTCATCAAGTATTTACATCAGTGTTCTGAAACGTTTTAAGAACTATAATTTTCTACTCCAAATAAGAAACATATGATTTGCATGCATGTGGTTTTTAATTATATAAACATGAGGGAGAAGGAATGTTTTCAAATGGTGTGATTTATGATAGCTCTTTAAAATAAAGCACGTGGTACTACTCTGATTTAAATTCTTAGAATAATTGAAAAATTCAACATTAAAAATTGTCTTACTTTATTTTTTACTTTCTTTTATTAATTTACAAATTTAACTAGTCACATCTGCATATTTCGCAATATTTTTAAAGATTAAATAAAAAAAAAATCTAAGTCAGTAATGTCATAAGTCATTAAATATGGTGGATAAATACTGGAAAAAAAAATGGTTTAAAAGTGCAATGAAACAAGAAAAATCATAAGTAAATAAAGTAGAATACAAAATATATATAACATATGTTATTTATCTACTTTTACATTATTGAAGAACAAGCGCATATATCAAGGATTTCGGCTTAACAGCAAATAGGTCCTGGATAGGTGATATAAAGTATTAGGAATTATCATAAGAATTTTTACTTTTTCATTGCAAAACCTCTTTGAATCACTTATATTTCATATTACTTTATGTAAGACCGCATTTTGTAAGCAAACACTTAATAATAATTTAAAAACAAAACTCTTGTTTGTTATTTTAAATTTTTTCTGTTCGTGGACACTAGTTACAAAAAGAGACAGTAATGAAAACAAACTGGAAAGAAGAAACTTTTTTTTTCACTTTGAGGTGTATTTTTTTTCTTTACTACACCATTTGCTCTATAATAATTTAAAAACATACACAGATTGATTTTTTTTTTTTTTGCCTTCTAAAACATATTTTGTATCTTTCATCTAAATTGATCATGGCTAAGAATTGGGTAGAAATTGGTCTTGGTGATGATTTTTTAATGACACACATTTATTAATTCAAAAGGATCATAGAAATGTTGAGTAAACTTCCAATATTTAAAAAATAAATGAATGAAAATGTAGTTTACTTTACAAAGATAATATTTTGATTTTCTAAATCAAATTATAGTTAGAACACAAAACAGAATGTATTCATAACTATCCAAACACTTGTAAGTAGATTATCTCATTATTAATAACATGTCATACATTAGCTCTTAATATTTAAAGTTTTGTCTTATATTTACTGAATACTCTTATTGTTAAATAATATTGCCCTCTTATTATTGTTTGAAATCTGACACAGAAGAAACTAGTTTTGTAATAATATAACCAAATGAATCAATCATAAAAGTTTTTCAAAGAGTAAAGTCAATAAATGCCTTTAGATAATTACTGTACTCTTTAAGTCCCTTAATTATATTAAATTCACCCACACAATTTTGGAGATAAAATTAAACTTACTGACCCTGAAGGAGAAATGATACTGCAATTAAACTCTACTGTTCTGTGGAGAAGAGTATTCTTTGTAAGCTGTAAGTTATATTTTATTCAAACCTAGGTGCAGAAAATACTCTGAGCCTTAGCATTTTCTCAGAACAAAGATTTTTTTTAATTTGAAATTTCGTCCAATTTTGTTGTGCTTCTTTTTTAGTTTCTATAACTTTTCCTAAATACTTTTAGAAAGTACAGTTTTATTTATAGAATTTTATTATAATAATTTTTTCTTTAACAAAGAAAAAAAAATCTTTCGATTTTGCATAATTCTTGAATAAACTGGCATATACATTAAAAATTATTGAAATCTAATATATTAAAATAGTATTAATTTATCAAAATAAATTTAAGGTCCCACTCATAAACTTAAAGAATTCTAACTAATAAGTAAAGAAATTGTCATATAAAGTTATATTTGTTCTCTCTTTTGTTTTTTTTTGTAAAACTTTTTTTGCGGGGATAATTCTCTATTCCATTTTTTTTTCTAAAAAGAACTTTGTAAGGTGATAACTTTTTTTACAATAAAATATTTTATAGCAATTTTTTTTAAATCGACCAAAACTTTCCTCGGAACTGAATTTCCTCTGTCCATATTCTGCACCCTGTATTCAACTAGAGCCATTTATAAAGTTTTATTGGCCTTTTTCCTACTTGGGACAGTAATTACACAAAAGTTGGTGATACATATAAAATGATGAGAACAACAAGATACATAAATTCTAAGTATATTGATTATACATATTCAAGTAGACAGTGTTACTACTTACTATATCAGAATATGCATGCATTTATTTCTCTAACACTTTCATAGTATGGTAAATTACTTGAAAAGTTCAAAAATGTGTGTTGGGGGTGAGGAACAGTAATGACATTTTACTTATTTTTTTTAAAAATATAATTTGATTACAAAATGTGTCTGATGCATATTTTGTTTACTCCTTGTGAGCATTTTAAGCAAAACATACATTTAAATAATGATCTTAAAAATTTTAATCAAAAATATTGCTTATGGATGCAAAGTTATGAATCAGGAAACTAACCCATTACAAAATAATAATTTTTTACTTTTGTGTGATTTACATCCGACACCAACTGTCCGATGCATTTAATTTAAATCCATTATTACTGTCCACAATTATCAGATTTTTTTAGAGAAATGTAATTGTATAGAGCAATTAATTGTATAGCCTAAAAGTAGAATATGATGTTCTAAGCATTTTAAATACAAATTTAGTAATTTTAAATTTAATTTAATTTTATAAATGTAATTGTTCTAAGAAATTGAAGTCTGACACCATGGAATTGCCCTTCTATAAAGGTTCTTTTTTACTCAATTTAAAAAAAAAAAATTTTTTTAGCGATTTTAAAAGGAGTAAGTTCTGTAAACCAGAGTTAGTGTTATATATAAAACCATGTTTAAATAGTCTATTTAAAGCAACATGAAAGGAAAAAACATGCACATACATGGGATTTTTGTTCTTTTATATATAGTCTAAATTTCAAGTTATTTTTTTTCAAAATTTTAATAATTTTTTAAATATTTTTTCTCATTTCTTTACTTAAGTGTTCTTTTTTCCCTTTTTACTTTTCTATAGTAGTGCAGTTACATTTTATTTAATTTTAGCAATATGCGTGTTTATCTTATCCTTAGAGAAATGTTATTTTAAAAGTTTGATCTACATTATGAATGTTTAATTGTGAAAAAGGAGATTTTTAATTATCTTTAGAAGAACTTATCTGATTTTAAGCTTTTCAAGACAATTCCTTGAGACCCATACTTTCTAAATGGTCTAGTGGCATCCCTGCATTTAGTTATGTAATTTTTCTTTTTTACTGACAACTTTTTGATGTGGTACATGAATTTATTCAATATATTATTTATTAGTTTGGTATATTCATTAGAATTTTTGATTAGGTAGTGTTGAAGCTGAATAATATCAATAAACTTTTGTCATACACCTTATAAAAATGCTTCTAGTAGTTTATTAAATTTCTTTTTTCAGATGGAGGAAGGATCTGAGAGCGGAGGTGAAAGTCCTCAGAGAGATAGCGATGCAGAATCAGGACAGAATTCTCCTTCTTCACCACAGTCTCCTACTTCACCTCGATCACCAAGTTCTCCTATGTCACCTAGTTCCCCTAAGTTTTCACAATCTCGTAGTTCACCTAAATCCCCAGAGTCTCCTAGTTCTCCTCAATCTCGGAGCTCTTCCCAGTCACGTAATTCACCTACATCACCACCACATTCACCTGGATTTCCACGTTCACCGGCATCTCAGCAAGGATCAGATGCTGAAGCTGGCTCTAGAGCTTCTTCTCCCGCATCAAGACCTTCTTCACCTTATTCTCCGGGAAGACAGCAAAATTCATCACCTCCACAGTCCCCTGCTTCAGGTATCCGGTCACCTTCTCCCAGTATCCGGTCACCTTCTCCTGGTATCCGGTCACCTTCTCCTGATGTCAGGTCACAATCTCCAGGTATCCGTTCACCTTCTCCTGGAATCCGTTCACCTTCTCCTGGTATCCGGTCACCTTCTCCGGATCGCCCGGATTCGCCAAGATCTGAACAACAATCTGGTGATGAAAAGCAGGTTGTTATTTATAGTTATCTCATGTTGTATTAAACTGAAAATATTTACAGCCGTGTTCTTTAAGAAAAAATTATTGAAAAAAAATCCTGTCTATATCTATTGCATGTTTTATTTTTTATTTAATTAAAAAAATTTTTTTTTTATAAGCATAATTATTTTATAAAGCAAATTTTTTTTATGAAACCTATATTTATCAATTATAAAAAAAAATTTAACTTTTGCATTCTGCAGCATTGTGCGCACACTGATGTCATATTTTAATACAATATAATAAAATTATGAGGCACTGAGTTTTAAGATTTTATTGCAATATAGCTACTTGAGTTTACCCTATGGTATTTTCCCACAAAAGTTTAAATGCTTAACCTTTTTCACTTGTTGAAACTAGACAATTGTAATTTAAAATGATGAATGCATCGGTTAAATCCTGAGAAATTGAATTTTAAATATCTGATTTTTTTAAAATTAAATTTCTCAGGAACTATTCAACCGATTTTGCTCAAATTTTGTACTTTGCCATATAAAATTATATTATTTTAAATGATGCAAAAAATTTTATACTCTAACATTTCAAAATTGAATTCCATTATTAAATAAAATAATACAAAATAATAAATACTTATTAAATATTATTTTCTCCATGGAATTATCTTTAGAAATTAGCAGTATATCAAACTTTTTTTTTATTAAAATGAACCTCTAGGTTTTTCTTCTGACTAGTATAGATTATTTATCGTAACTTACTCAGTTTGCAATTTAGTATTTTAAAATTACGTCAATTGCTAAAACCAAAACATATCTTTGAGTTCTTATCTTTGACCCCAAGAGCACTAAAGCTTGGCTTTATTCCACTCATAGACCCACTGTAAGAAGTTCTCTATAGCTCACTGTGAAATTGGCAACCGGAATTGTTTCCACTTCTAAAGGAGTCTAGTGTTTTTTTCTTTCTTTTGCTAATTCCGTGGATAGGAGAACAATAACCACAAATTAGCAGTACAGTACAGAACCCGCTATCCGGAAATCGGAAAACCTGGAAAACCAAAAAACCGGAACGAAATTCGATACATTTTCCCGCCATTTTTTTAAAAAAAAATTTTTCTTCCTTATAAGATTTTAGGATTTTTCTTTCTTTTTTTAAAGATGTTTACCTTACCATCATTTTGGAAATAATCATTAGTGTATTACTCCATCGTTTTTTCTTCTTTTTAAGATTATTTCAAAAAAATTTTTTTTTTTAGTTGGGTTTAACAGTAAAAAAACGGCTTTTTGTAGCGATTCAGAAAACCGGAAAAATCAGTTATCCGGAATAGCGATGGTCCCGATCATTCCGGATAATCGGTTCCCTACTGTATTAACTTTGATTTTGCTTTTTTTGTATACTTATTTATATTCAAACTTAAAAATTAAGCATATTTATCGAATTTTAGAATAGCGGTGATGAAAGTGATGGGGAACATGAGGATCATGGAAGTGAGAATCAAGCATTAGATAGGAGTGCTGAAAAAGATGAGGAGTCTGGTGATGAGGATGAAAGACAAAGTGATGCTGAAAATTCTGGGCCGGAAGAAAATATTCCAGAAATAAATATTGAAAGTGCAGATGAAAATGAATCCGAAAAAGGAGATGCTTCAGACAATGAAGCTGCAAACAGTGGGGATGAGGATGAACAAGGTGAGGTTATATCTTAATATTCATTGTAAGACCAGACATCAGATTTTTCCCGCTTTTGTTTAAATTAACTTTCTAAACGTTAAAATGAATAAAATTTCTAAACTTAATTGCTATTTTGTTCTCTTTAATTTTGTTTTATATTTTAAGCTTAACACTGTGTCGGAGCGAGTAATTAGTAGATGGTAGAAATTTTTTTTAAATGAATGTGAAGAATTTAAAGATTTTGTTATCTATTGATAAAGTTAAAATGAAGAGTGGACAATGACATCAATCAGTGACAGCAGAAAAAAAGGATGGGAAGGTTAGAACATCCAGGAAGTATGTCTGAATGTGGGAGCAGCGAGATAAGACATTTTGGAGGATCATTCTAGAGAGATCATCATCGGGGGGTGGAGATATAAGAGTAAAGTTAGGAAGGAGAATGAATGATTTGTGCTTGACTTACAATGTTGTAGATTGTGAATGTTTGTGATGGCTAAATTCTTTTGTTTTGTAATGTTATCAGAACAATATAAATTACACCTCTGTTAAATTTTTCTTTAAAATAAAAGATTTGTATATCATATGCAAGTTAAACTGTTGATTCTGATTTAATTTATTGGAAAAAGTATAAACTTCTGTTTCTTCTGGAAGCAAAACTAAACAAAGTTGAAGGATAATTGTACACAATTCAAATTAAATTTAAACAACAGAAAGTTTTTGCATATAACATTATCTGTGTAATATTTGCTTAATTTTGAAACAGAATTTATGGATGTAAGTATGAAAATGATATAAAAAGAAAATCCTGTTTTGCATCTTCATTTTTTTCTAAGCTTAAAATATTACTCAGGTTTATGTGGTAATGAAATAAGCAGATCCTCATAACTTCTTTGTAAAACAGATGTTGTAGATAGATTTATGGAAATTATTTTTAAAATTTTTCTATCTATGCGTATAGTTTTTGCAAATTTATTAATATGTCTGTAACTATTAACTTTTTATGATACATTTTAGAGAGAAAGGAGAATGCTACTGTTGCGGAGAGTGATGATGATAGTCCTCAATCTCCTCCTCAAGAAGAAAAGGAGGGAAATGATGATGAAATTAAAGCAGCTGGAAAGTAAGATTTTTTGAACTTTTTATTTTTATTATTTTTTTTAAATTTTTATTTTTTGTAATAAGAATGTCAGCAGATGTTATTTGAAACATTTTTATTTTAAAATTTGGGTTATGCATTTTTATTTAAAAATTATGGATTTTGAGAATTTTTGTAATAATCTGTTAAAATTTTTTTTTCCCCTTTAACTTCAAAGAATTATGAAATTTTCTTGTTTGTCTAAAGTAACTTTTTTCTACTCCTTAAACAATTCTGAAAACAATAAGTAAATATCAAGAATGATTTGATTGAAAAAGAGAATTATAAAATGCAGAGAAACCTCATTTTTTCCCCTTTGATCAAGCTGTTCTGATACTTAGTCTTCTCTTCTTAAGAGTAACTTATAGTTACATCAATTCTCCTTATAGAAGAGTAGCACAGTAACTTAAATCTGAAATGCTGTTGAGCAAAAATTTTTACTGATTCAATTACAATATAACAAAAGAGTAATACGAGCTGGTTCTAATTTAACCAAAAACCACAACATTGACTCCAAGTAATTTAATTTTATCATTTTATAATGAAGTATAAAATTTAAATGTTTCATTATTTTTAATTTAGTACCTTTATTTAAGTATTAATTTTTTTGTTTAAAGGTATGTTCTTGCATAATTTTATTAATTATTGAGTGGCAATCTTCATTGTTTAAAATGCTTTCTTTAAATATAATTATTAATCATTTATCTGTAAGTAATTAGGTAATGGTAAGGAAACAATTCATTCAAGGATTGTGACAATTTGGATTAGTGATTCTGAGAGAGTTTTTGTTACCGAGAGGAGTTTGTCTATCATAGTATTTATTAGGAGTTCGTCTATTATATTATATCTATTATAGTATTTCAGTTTGTGGTAGTTAGAAGGAATTAGAAATAATAAATCAAGTGATTGTTTTGGGTCTTACATCAGAAAGTGAAGCATTGTGTGAAAATTTTTGTTTTAAAAAGTAAGCAAAGTTTACAATTGACATTGTAATGAGATTTATTGAATCTAGGACTAGAGCAAAACATTTAAAGCTATATTGAATTAAAAAAAGAGGAAAAACCTACAGCAAACTATTTTTAAATGTTAAATTGTAAGTAAAATACAAAATTGTAAGTTAAATTTGAATAACTTGTTCAATAAACATAATTATTAATCTGAAAAATCAAAGTGGAAAATGATTAAATCAAGTGTAATAATTTTCTGTTTTGAATTTAAAAATTTAAAATCAGAAAATGATTATATTTGATATTCTATTTTTTAATTTTGAAATTCTATACTATTAAAATAACTTTTGATATATCTATAAAAGTTTATGATATTGTGCTTGTAGTTGATTGCATTATCCTTTACTTTCTGACACATTATGCATTAAAAAAAGTTAATATCTGATATGTTTAGGCATTAAAAAAAAGATTCTTTACATGTTTATCAATATTGATGTTCATAATGTGTTTGTAGGAAACTAGATAGTGATGGTGAAGATAATGCTGACTCAGGTATGTAGTCTTTTTCCAACTATTATTATACTTCTAGAAATAATNCTATCAAACTACCAGTGACATTCTTCACAAAACAAAAAAAAAAAAAAAAAAATTCAAGACTGTATTTACATGATGGAATATAGTGTTTAAAACGCATCACCCTAAAACCGAATTATTTATTTTATTAGGAAAATTATTTTAAGTAAAAAATTTTTTTCTCTCTAAAATAAAAATATTTTTAATTGGATTTTTTGCTAAACATTTATAATTATGAGTATAAATTTAATAAAAATTAAACTTGACGTGCGCTTTATTTCAAACTATACATAATATAAGTGCTAATTCAGTGGTCATAATTTGTTATTGCTTTCACAGGTTTCAGCCATATTTGAGTAAGTCATTCAATGGTATATTTATGATTAACTGAAACTTAAATGCAAAAATATTACAAACAGTTTATAAGATATAATAACTTAATGAGTAACAAAGAGGGTTTGGCTGAAAATATAAATCTAAACTAAATTGATTAAAATAAGCTATAATGAAAGTGATTGTGTTGACTTTATGAGTTGTTGGTGAAGTGATTAATAGCAATATATCAGCTAAACTTATTTAAACATTCATGTAAAAATAAAATTTAAGTATATTGAGTTGCTTGTTAAAAATATGCATACTTCTATAACATGCTCTTTAGAATTTCAATAACCGAACTCAATATTTATGAAATTATGTTTTTTTTTCTCTTTTTTTAAAGTTTTAAATTGTCTGTAACATTTATGAATTTTAAGCAATGTAATGAGTCTTATAGTTTGGAAAACTGAGTTACATAAAGATCTTCTAGTCTACATATATTGTTTGGAACAAAATGCATCGAAAAATTGCAAACAAGAAACAGCTTTAAATTCAATGTATTATGTATAGAGAAGTCTTAATACATATTATATAAACATATCATGAAATTAACTATAGTTATAGCATAAAGAATTTTTTTATGGCTGAATAATACTTTAAAAATTACTAAAATAATTAATGATTCTACGTTTTTTTAATCCTAGTATTATTCTTTATTTTATTATTTGAAATGATAGTGTTATGTATCTATTAATGACTTTCACTGATATTTAGAATTTTATCACTGACTGTTTCATTTCTATTTTTCAGATAGTGATGCTGAAAGCGAAGCGTAAGTTTAAAATTTTATTTTCTTTATTTTTGAAATTTTTATTTTTGTTATCATTTTGGTTATTTTTTTTTCTGCTCTAAAATTATTAATCACTGATTATATTAGAAAATATTAAATACAGTGCCTTTTCAAATCTATTTGAAATTTCAAAGTTAAGTTTTAGATTCTTAGTAACTGCAATTTAGGGATTGTCTACTAATTTATACATGGTTCAGGTATTTAGCCTTGCTCACTGGATCCATTGTTTCAACCTCTTTGGGAATTGATCTATTCTATGAAATGAAATGCACACTACTCCCCCCAACCATGCACAAACTTTTTCCGCTCTTAATGAGGTGGAATGTAAGACTTTAAAAGAATGAGAACTGAAAATGTGGAAGGATAAATGTGGAAAGATTTGTTGAAGCCCCAAAAATTTGATTTCAAAAAACAGCTTTAAATATTTTATTTTTTAAAATAGTGGTTTCAACATGTCTTTATATTGTAAGGATTCTATTTTTGTTGATTTGATTGCTTTGAAAGCTGGTTTTAAAATTTATTGACTCAACTATGTTGTTTTGTTGTTGCAGGTCTGGGGTTGGAGGACTCATTGCTGATATTTTTGGTGAGAGTGATGATGATGAAGAATTTGAGGTAAATATGAATAAAAAAATAATTTTTATGCATTCTATTTTTCTACTTAAACATCATTTTTGTTAATGTGTATCACAATTTTTGCAACAAATCTGTTTCTTACATAATAACTTACTTTAGGATCATTGCAATATACAGTGAGTTCGCAATAACTCGAATCTGATAGGACTGACGAAAAACTTCGACATATCGGAAGTTCGACTTACCATTAGTTTCGGTTTTGGACTTTCAAAATATTGTCGGATTATTTAATTAATGCTTATTAATTACAAATCTTCTTATTGCTTACAATATTTAAGATCATTTTTCTGACAAGCCATTTACGATAAGACTGTTTGAAGCACTTTATGATACCCTGGTTCATCGGCGGCAACTTTGCTGTTGTGTTTGGCCGGAGAAACTGCAAGTTTACTGCTTCCAAATTAGGTAGATCACTATGTGCTGTGCATTTATCCATAAAGAGTATCACTTTTCTTTTTTAGACTACATATAAATGGTTTAATAATAATATAAAAACTGAATTGGTTTCTCCTTCAAATGGCGCCCAGCCAGTAGACAAAAGGAATGATATAAGAATGGTTTAATAATACCATGGAAACTTTAGTGGTCTTACTGTTAAACTAGCAGCAATCTAGTAAGCAAATAGAATAACATATTAATGGAATAATATTTTGAAAAAAGTTAGTGCTATCATAGTTAAACTGTCACCGAACAAGTAGTTTATGAAATCTCTTCCTCTAGCGTTGATCATTAATGATGATAATAAAATGTAATATTTATTAGTATAAGTTTTCTTTTAAAAAATTACAATTTATAAGAAACAAAATTCAAAGATATATATAATTTTTGAAATATATCACGTGAGATGAACGATTAAAGAATGTGTAATTGGGGTGCAGAAGAAATAAATTGCCGTAGTCCATTATCCTTCTCTCTAACAAACAACTAATAACAATCATAGCAGAAGGATATAAATAATTTTTTAATGAAATCTGACGTTATGATCATTTTTCATTCCATTTTCAGGAAAGAAAATTTCGAATTTGCAGCCACAAGCATCAGCCTTCCCTCCTCCTCCATTTCGCTAAAATACGACACGAAGAACACAACAATTACACAAAGGATCAAAATTTTTACTTTGTTTCCTTTCTTGAGCATTTCCTTTTGCCTTATTTCTTGCTAGTTCTTTAAAGAATTTTTTCACGCCTGCTTTTTTTTTTACCCGATTTTCAGTTAAGGTTTTTGTTAGTTTTGAAGTGGTATCGTATTAATAGGTTAGAAAGTAGCTAGCCTATAAGGGTCAAGATATTGCCACTTTTAGACAGTAATCCGTTTTTTGTTGATCGAAATATCAGTATTTAATTTTGTCACTAAATNATATAACTTTACTTTAATTTAATATTTTGGCCTAAAACTTTTATATTCTGTCCTAAAACTTTTATATTCTTCTTGGTTCTAGCTCCGATCTACAATAAAAATGTATTTAATAATTTCTTGTTATTATTGACTTCACTCTGCACGACTACAGTTGCATTGCGATGCTAATAAAGCATCACAGAAATTTCTCTGCTGTTTCAAGATCACATTATATTTGTTATAAAAACAGCATTAAAAAATTAATTTTTAAATTATAATTTTATTAAAAGCAGGGCCAGAGTCCTGGAAACGATAACATTTTGCATCTCGAGTATACAGACCTGTAAGAGGTAGATTTAACCTTTAAAAATCAAGTATAAAGTATGTAAGTGTAGGTGGAATATATATTAATGTTTAATATTATATGGTACCCTAATAAGTGTTGAGTTGATTAATTTTTATGAAATACGGTTTTTGAAAAAGAGCTTTCAAATGATTGCAAATTAGATTTAAAAAGTACTTTTAGAGATTTCTTATTTTCGTATACTTGAAGTTCTTTTTTATTTAATTATCTTTTAGATTACATTGTATTCCTGCCCACACAATCTTATAAGCCTGAAACCACCCTTTTTAAATTTTATGTACTCAAACTTGCTTGATTAAAGTTTTAATTCTTTGTTTCATTTTGTTTTAAGGGTTTTAAAGAAGAAGAAGTAGCCACTGAAAAACAGGATAAAGATGAAGTAGTAAAGACTAAAAAGAAGAGAGCTAAAAGTATGTTTTTTTGTTGCTTATTGTTTTTAAATGCCGAGTCTAAATCCATTGCTGCACAACAAAACTGTAGTTAAAAACTATGGTATTTACTGTGTATTTTGTTCAAAGCTGCTCGAAAGCCTTTTCCCTTAACGAGAATTTGAAGCAGTTTCATTTAAAGTAATCTTTTGCTCCAAAAGGTCTCATTATTAGATTGGAAAAATGCCATGGGCTACATAAGATAATATAATTTAGTCAAAGAAATATTAGGAGGGAAATTATTTTTAATTTTAGCACAGTTATTAAAGTTTTTAATTTAATCAAAGAATGAAACTAATTTACAAATTCAGAAAAAGACAAATATAAGTAAATAACATTTAAAATAATAAATCAAAATAGAAAAGCGCTACTGGGAAGCTATAAATCCAAATTTGTTTTATTTTAATTTATAAAGTCAGAAATATAATTCTAGCGTAAAACAACAAAAATTTAAGATATGTGTCTTAGCAGGACAGTTCTTCATCAGGAGACACACTGTTTTCAGTGGTGAATCCAGAATCTGACAGTGCCCTGAGGCCCCATAATGGAAATACAAATAAGAAAAAGCAATTAAAAATTGAAATGTAAATGCAAAGAAAAATTAATTAGTAACTATCACAATTTAAAAGTACAAAGAGTAAGTCTTAATAATGATTTAAAAGTACACAGACTAAGACCTAATAAAGAGACTCCCACATATAAGAAAAATAAATAAGGATAAAGTTACAGTTAGAATAGCCACATCAAAATAAAATATAAATTGCCAAATTATTAAGAAAACTTCAGAAATAAGTGCTGACCCCTTTTTTGAAAATCTAGAAAAATGAAACAAAAAAGCATTCAATGAGTTAAAATTTTAAAAAAGTGCTGCCATCTCTATGCTTCAAGAACATAAAATCCTAAATTTCACCGCATAAGCCTATTTATGCAGGCTTCAATATTGGCCGAATTATTTGAACATCTTTAAAATATTTTGAATCAAAATATCATAATTACAGTAATTAAAAGGAAAATTATTATCTAATGTAATCCTGAAATTCCTGATAGTTGAAGGAAAATTTGTTTTATTATTACAAATAAAAAAATTTAAATCTAATAATTTGACCAATCAAAATATTCTTAAAAATCTTAAAGTAAAGGTTGGAATTAAAATGTGTTAAACTAATAACGTTAAACTTAAAATCTTTTCTTTTATCGTATAATCCCATTAAAAGTTTTCAAGATTTATAAAATATAAAGTTTTTAATTTCTAACATGCTTATGTTATGTTTAAAAATAAAGTAATTAGAGTAGAATCAATTATTGCATTTATTTTTGTTGTTTGAAACATGTGATGATATTTAAATATATAATGCATACTGCTCTTCTCAAAACAAATAAATAAATAAAAAATTAATATATCAAGCTACACATTTGTAGTTTTTTTATATTATTTTTATTTCCTTGAATTTTGCACTACTAGCTAATAACTGAAATATTAGTTATCTTCAGCTTTTCTCATTTTCTTATCAAAGTAATCATTGTTAAAAGATAGAAATAAGTAATTAACTGCATTACAAAATTTAGAACTGACTAATGCAACTATTATTAAATGTGACGTTGCGTCTATAAATATATTTAATTAAAAACATTTTAATTGAATATAGTAATAGGTAATTATAATTTTTCTGTTTTAAACTGTCAAAATCTAAATAAAGAAATGTAGTTTTATATTATAAAGAAATGTAGTTAGTTGAAAGGTACTGCTTTTTTAGACCCACTTGAAAAAGAAAGCGGGGAAGTCCGCGGTTGAGATGGGCTGACTCAGTGGAGTCTGATTTTTTCGCAATTAATGAAAAAAAATTGGAGATCAAAGATAATTCGGAAGTCGTCATGGAGAAATCTTCAGAGGAAGGCATTGGCTCACATTGTGCTGTCTGGCCAACTATGATGATGAGTTTTATTTAATATAAATCTTATATTGATACTGGAAAGAAATAAGCAAAAAACTATTATAAGAAAAAGAGGTTAATAACTAAGNCATATAATTACGAGCGAGTTTTCTTCCCAGTTTTTCTTTTATTATTTGGATATCTTTTTCCAAAACTTATATATATATATATATATATATTTATTTATTGATAATTATGTGTTCTACAATCTTAACTCAATAAATTTTGAGATTTCAATTGACATTGAATTTTCAATTTTATTTTCAAAATTTAAATATGAAACCTATTTTTTTCTGTCTAGATATACTGGTGTATTTAATTCTCAAATGTTCTCAGAACAAATGTGATAATAATAAGTGGCAGGCACTGTGTTGTGTTGAAATGTTTTAAAAAATTATTTTGACTTTCAAATTGTTTGTCAAACATCAAACATCAATTGAAGTTTTTTCTGTTTTAGTAATGTCTGATTCTGAGGATGAGGAAGAAGTAGAGGTAGACAAAACTGAGGAAGAAATAGCGGAAGAAAATGATGAAGCTCATGGCATAATTGAAGATGTTGCAGTACCAGCTGCGGCAGAAGATGAAGGCGAGGGAGAAGGTGAAGAGGAAGAGATTCAATCTTCTTCAAAAAAGAAAAAAGTAGATTCAGATTCAGAAGATGAAGATCGGAAAATAAGGTTACTGTTTATTTGATACATATAAGAAATAACATGTAGTTATATTACTGAATGTGAGTTTTTTTTTGTTCATAGTTAACCACTAAAAATTAATAGTATACAATTTGTTTTTTGAAGTAGTTTTTTGGAAGCTTTGTACTAATCTATATTATACTACTTTAAATTTTTATTAGTTATAGGCTGTTAAATTTGTTATTGCTTGGATAAAACAAGGCATATTTTTTAGTGATTTGTATAAATAGTATGTCATTCTCAAAAATAAGCATTTGTGGTATTACTATTTTCTATTAATTTTTAGTAAATAAAATATTACAAATACAATGACACCTCTGGGGAGCAACCGCTCTTTGTTCCACTGTAAAATGGCCGTTAATGGAGGTTTGTCGTTCTTAGGGGTTAACCCCATTGACTTCAAAATATTATCAAAGGTGTATGATTTTTTGCAAGCAATTTTAATTTTAAACCGTGTCATTTCCTTGGTGCGGAAATGCCACTTGTATTGGCGTCGTGAAAACTGGATCGATTGATGAAATTTAGCCTCTATAAGAATGACCCCTAATGATATAATTATGAATAAAAACAAATTTACCAATTATGAATTATGAAACTATTTTAAATATCTAAACAATTGTGTTTTTTGTTTAAGTTTGCATTTAATTGTATATCATAAAAATGAGTTTGGTTTGAAATGAGAAGTGGTTTATTTGTTTGAGTTGCATAGTTTTTTTTCTAAAATAACTTTTTTTTATATAACTTTTAACTCTTAAAAATTCAATCATTGATAGCATCGTTTTTAGTGCATTCTGACTGCAACATGAGATTTTTTTAAATCTCTTTTGGAGATTGTCAAAAAGAGTTCTCTAAATAAGAGCCATTCACAAATATTTTGAAAACATTTGAATCTATTTGTTTGTTTTGTTAATATCTTTTGTTTTGATATTTTTCGTGTTAAATTATTATAACTTTCCCGCATTTGGTGTGGGATTTGCCTAGTCGCTGGAAGAAGTTTTGATTGTCTCTTCTAAAGGTTTTCTTTAATGCAGATTCTATGGAAAAAAAATTTTGTGCCTCCAAAAGGTGGTCATAAATAGAGGAAGTTACTATACAGAGGTGATCTGTTCTGGATGTTTCACTGTACCAACTTTTAACAATGAAACAAATTATCTTGTTTAATTGGCCACGTAGTGCCTGATTTCTATTTATATGTTATTTGTTGCCCTTACCATAGATTTTTCATTATTAAATTGAATTAGACATTTTAGAGTTTATTCCACCTAAATGAAAGTTGTGTACTGTTTTATTCGTAATTGAAAATGAGCATGGCAGACCCAGAGACATTCATGGTTTCATCCGTGCAAATTTTTGATGAATCGCCATTTTCGTAATTGAAGCTTATTTTTTTAATTTTCTATTCTGTTAGTTTAAAAAAAGACACATTTCAAACCAGTATCTATAAACAAAATAAAAACTTGGTTTCAAATAGTTTTCACATTGCTTACTCAGTGATATTGCTCTTTCGATAGATGCCACGAAAGCTATCCGCATCGATTTTATCTGTACTCATGTGACAAAAAGAACAAAAGATTAATGATTTTTAAAAATAAACACTAAGCTCGTAAATAATACCTTTTTGTTAATTTAAAGCTCTTATTTAACGTTAACTTAATTGGAAAAAATGTTTAATACGAATATAATTGCATGTTTAATACCAATTCAATGAAAAATTTTTTTTTACACATCCTTCTTGAACAGTGCATTGAGCAAATGTTGGCTATTGAAGAATCAGCTTCATATATTTGCTGTACAATGCTCCAAATCCTTTCTTCAAAGATCATGCAGTCTGGGAATTTGTAAATAATGTTTAATACACTTTTTTTTAAATGAAAAAATCTTTTCTAATACATATTTGGTTTATTTTTATTTTCAACTTGAATTTTTATTTTAGTATGATTAAAATTGCTGCAAAGACACAATTAGACAGGTTGTAATAATGCGATCACATGATCACATTCCATAAGTATTTCAAATTAAATCACTTATAAAAAGTCTTTTCTTTTATTCCTTTGTTTTTCAACATAAGATTACTATGATCTCAGTTGGTTTCGGAGATCGATATCAATTGCCTTGATACAACCATGCACTGTAAATAATATTTTTAAAAAAAATGTTTGAAATTGAACTTTTTTCTACAATCAATATGATTAAATACTTATTCTCTGTTGTATATGTCAACTTTTCAAATTTCTGAATTGCAATGAAAGGTAAAGGGTTGATACTGGTTTAGACTAAAAGATTTTTCCAAAATCAGACTCTTATCTTGAAAAATTAACCTAATCTATAAGATAAATAAATACATACTTAGTAAAAGTTATACTGTTATAATACAATCAAAATTTTTATATAACAATTATAAAACTTTTACATAAGAGTTCTATTCTACTAGGTATTCTACTTTATTTTCCTTCCCTTAGTCTCCTGAAATATCTCTTTTTTTTGTACCACACTATAAATTGTAAATACCACATTTCTTGAAAAGATTATTATTATATTTGTATTAATATTTTTCCATGCATCCTGTATAATTTGACACATATACCTAGTTTTTTGAAACTTAGTTAAATTCCTCAAAATAACTCAGTGTCATCAGAAGATGGAACACTTTTATTTGAAAATGAAAGTGCAAAAATTGACACACATTCTGAACAGTTCACTCTATATCTGTATCAGGAAACTGCCAAATTGATGATTTGTTCCACTATTAAGTTCAATGTGGACAGTTAAAAAGTTAAATAATCAAAGAGTTAAAAGGTTTACTAAACTTTTTGACTTTAAAAAAATTCTGAAAAATTAAATAAGTTTTTATTCATTTATAATATTTTTTTAAAACACCTGTAACATAAGCTCGTCTTGCTGTGGTATGAATACTACTTTAGAACTTGGTCTGTAAAACAGGAGATTACAAAGATGCCAGCTTTAATAGATAATCTTTATTTTCAGGGAAGACTTTGTGTCTGATTTTGATTTAATGATGCAAAAGAAGAAAGATGAAAGCTCTAAAAGAAGGAAAAGGAAAGATGTTGATCTTATCAGTGATAGTGATGATTTAATCGCAGAAATTATTACACAAATGCGAATAGCTGCTGAGGTATGTCAGAAGTTAAATTAAAAACATAGAAATGTATTTTGACCCCCCCTCATGTATATCTAGAACATAAAATAGTGGTGAATTGTAGTTTATGCATTGCACCGATTTTTGGCTGTACATTAAACTTAAAAAAAAATAATATTAAAATTAAAATTTAGCTATTATTTCCTGTGATAATTCTTAATATTTGGCTAAAGTTGGTGCTTATTTTATTTCTGTATTTCATTTTGGTACTCATTGCAATCATAATTTTTCATTTCATTTGTTTTGAAACATTTCATCCTTATAATTATCCATATTAAAATAAAGTATGCTTTCAACAGTAAATTGTTGTCATCAGTAAATTCTAGACATTCATAACAGACTGCTGCTCATTTCTTCTAAGTTTGTATGAATAGAGAAAGTGCCTCATGGTTTAAAAGGCTTCAGGGCTTTTCACAAATGTTGATCTTTTTGCATAGTTTCATATCACCATCTTCATCAGTTTCATTTTGCACTTCTTCAGTTTTAGCAAACATTTCCTAAATTGACAACACCATTAGTTTCAACTTTTTCATTAGCTGATGCATAAACATCAAACATGATGTGTTCCAATTATAGTTTGATTTAGAAAATCAAAATATTAATTTTATAAACTAAAACTGAATAGTTAATTTTTTTCTTCAAATTTTTACTGTATTTTTATTTATTCATTTTTTTTATAGTTTTAATTGGAAGTTTACTTGGCATTTTTATGTGACTCTTTTACTCCTATTAAATAGTGAATTACACTTTCTGCATAAATGCTTAATTTTAACATCATAAATTTCTGAATTTTGTAATTTTGATTTTTTTGTGTCAGTTTTTATTTAAAAAATTGCAATTTCAGCTTTAATTACTCCTTGATATTTCTTAGCTTTTGATAAATTGTATAAATATAGGTGATAATAATGAAGATCAAAAATAAAATTTCTTTTGCATTTAACTTCTTGCGGAGTTATACAATTTTTTACTAGGCTGTTTTGATGAAAAATTTCATTGTTCACAGGCACAAGATTTACAAAAAAAAAAAGAAAAGAAAAGAAAAAAAAGGAAATTATGTGTCATTTAAAAAATGCCACCAAGGCCAGTTTCTAAAACATAAACAAATCAGATAAAATATACAAATTACACTTTAAAATGTAAAACGAACAATATCTATTATGCTTATAAATTGTTATAGAGCAAATGGTGTTGTGAAAAAAACAACAACCTTGAATAAGAAGAAAAAGTAGTGTTTTATCAGTTTATTGTCATTATTATCCCTTTTCATAATTACTGTCACTGCACACATTTTAAAATTCATTCAAGAGTTTAGGTTTTAAGTTATAATATGTTTGCTAACAAAATGTGGTCTTACTTAAGGTAATATAAAAATATAAGTGGTGAAGATATTTTTGTAATAAAAAAGTAAAAATTCTTATAAAAATTGAAAATCTCTGACTTCTTAGCTTGTTTTTTTTTTCTAATGGTTTATTTATTTATGTATTTTATTTTGTCATCCAGCATTGTTTTGCTTTTACTATTTCTTTCAGTTCTGATTAAAATATGTTAAATTTAGACTAATGTTTTTAAAATTTATTAGCCACATTATCATAAAACATGTTAATAAATATTAAAAAATTCATTTTTATATAGTTTTTAAACGGCATTAACATAATAAGTATGCTATAGGTAATTTTGCTACTTGCCAATAGTGAGTTGTTGCATTTTTAACAATGACCTCTCTTTGAGATAAGTGTCAATTTAAACAATTAAAATAATTGTTGATATGAACTATATTTGGCATTCCTTTTTTTCTAAAAATACGACAAGCATTACAATGTTCATTTCTGAAACAAAGAAAAATATTCCGAAACAAGCGAGAAATAAAGTAATTTTATGAATATTATAAAATATTTAAGCTAATTCCATATTTTTTATTTTTTAAAAAAAGTAAATAATAAAATATACTTGAGGAGTGTATTTTTTGCAAAAAAATGTGGCAACAGGTAGACAATTTTCTAATTGTCAGTTTAGTTGGCCTGTGGTGACCATTAATTTTTCCCTATAATGCTACCTATTATCTTATACTAGTTTGCATGTGTTCTTAAAGGTAAATCTTACTTCAATCAAATCATTTAATTCATGTACAATTTTATTTTTAGTATTTAGTATTTTTTTGATGTGCTTTTCTATGAACAATTTTTTAAATTTTTATTTTAGGAAGACAAGGAATTAAATAAACAGAAAAGGACTGCTACAAAAAAGTTAAAAATTTTACCACTTGTTCTTTCTCAATTGAAAAAACAAGATCTGAAAATGGCTTTTCTTGATCAAGGAGTTTTAAATGCAATTGCTGAATGGTTGGCTCCTTTGCCTGATAGAAGTTTACCACATTATAACATTCGTGAAGGTATGCTGAAGCAACTACATGATGTAAGTACAAGGATTTAAAAAGTACAATAATTTTTATTTGGTAGGCTTTAAATTGATTTTAAAAAAAATTGAAATTCATGAAGTAAATATGAAATATCAAAATATATTTTTATTTTAACTTCTAATTTTTTTTTTTTTTAGTTTCCGAATATTGATCAAAGTCTTTTAAAAGCTAGTGGTGTTGGCCGAGCACTTATGTATCTTTTTAAACATCCTAAAGAAACAAAAGAAAATAGAGAAAGAGCTGGTCGACTGATTACTGAATGGGCTAGACCGATATTTAATGTTGCCACTAATTATCATGCCTTAACAAAAGAAGAAAGGGAACAAAGAGATTATGACCATGTGCCAAAAAAACGTAGGAGGTAAAGTAGCTTAATGCATACGTGTTTTATAACCTGTTTGAATTTTGTTGATACATATGTTTTTTGTGCAGAATGTTTATATATATATA